CAGAAGAAACAGTGATGTGTAATGAAAAAAGCCTGGTTTTGAAGTTCTATTTTGTTCGGGTTCAAGTTTTGGCCTTATCTCTTGGGCCTTTTCTGAACCTGCATTTCCTTGTTTATTAAAATGAAGGTCAAACTTCCCTCAGGCCGCTGGCATAAAATTAGGTGAGAGATATAAATGGCTAGCATTAGTACCAGTGAGTGTTGGAGCCATGCCCCAACAATCCTGGAATGGTCTCTTCTATCGACGGAGATGGTGTTCTGACAATCACTAAGGCTCTATTTTTAAATTACACATTTATGACGTTTCCTCCTGCATAACAGTTAACTTAACAAGGAAAAAAGTCTGAAGAGTTGAGCCATGTTTGATGGATGGTCTTAATCAAATAGGCATGTTAAAACCAAGAACAGTGGAATTCTAAATACCTAAATCAGTGCTTGCGAGTCAGAGAGAGAGCCCTCTGATGCTCTCAGAAACGGTGGGACTTCCTTTCCATCTGCAGTGCACATCGTTCCTGCTGATGACACACCACCTGTGGAGCCTCGGGTTCACACCCTGCTGTGGCTTCTCCCACACTCCCATCAGCCTCCTCATGGCTTGGCGAGTGTCCCTCCGGCCCGAGGCTGCCAACTATTCATGAGCAAGGAGCACGCCATGTTCACGAGCCTAGCCCAACGCTCAAACACCGCATGAACAAGCTCAGACAACGCACAAACACTCAATAAATCGAGTCCTGAAAGAATCTAGTAGTTCTAATGCTTGTAGAATTTTTAAAAACCGAATTATGCTATTCAATGATATCTAAATCTCAAAGGATGTTGAGTGTAATTCTGAGGACACAGAGGGGCTGAACGTACCAAGCTGGGCAAGGATATGTGTGGTAAGAAATTCACTACATACTCCATTTCTGCAATTTTGAAAAAATCCTCACCCGAGGATATTTTCCCATTGGTTTTTAGAGAGAGGGGAAGAGAGAGGGAGAGACAGAAATATCAATGTGAGCGAAACACATCCATTGGTTGCCTTCTGCACTTGCCCCGGCCAGGACCTACACCAGGGGGGAGAGGGGGCGGGGCAGGAGGAGGGCAGCCTGCAACCGAGTTATGTGCCCTTGACCAAACGGAACCTGGACCCTTCAGTCTGCAGGCCAACACTCTATCCACTGAGCCAAACCGGCTAGGGCCATTGCTCAGATTTTTACACACAGCTGTTCATGTTTTATTATGGAAATTTTCAGACATACTCAGAAGTAGAGAGGAGAGTATAAAACACTTTTGTATACCAATCACCTAGCTTCAACAATGATCAATCTTTCATCCATATCTGTTCCCTCTCTCCCACTGTCAGACAATTATGAAGCATATCCCAGAGACCATCCAACTTCATCCATAAAGATTTCAGTTACATATAGATTTAAAAATTAACCCCCTTACTCACATTTATTTTTATTTATCACATGTATTAACTTAGCACATCTTTATGAACATGTTTTACACCTGCAGTTCTATTTCTGGTTAAAGCTTCTTTTACTAAATCATTTATTAGTGCTTCTCTCTATCCTTTCCTATAGACTTGTATAAACCGCTCCCAGTGTTTAACTGGAAACGGACCATCAAGAAATAGCTCAACAGGTTCCTGAAAAGCATTTTCGTCCTGGGAGTCCAGGGAAGCAACCCAGGGGGGTTGTGCACGCTCAAAGAGGTGCCTGGGAGCAAGGGAGAGCCAGAGGGTCCTCAGCAGCACCAATTCTTTTCCTGGGGAAGGCTCCCAGGAGCCCACAGACATTGTGATGATGTCATTTTGGTTTTGAGAAACCAGCAGCCCTGCCTGTGACCACAGCTACTTCAGAGGAGGTCTGCCTTCAGGCTGTGATGCAGAACCACCTGGGAGCCTCTGAAGGTAGAGATTCTCAGGGTGAAAACCAACAGCAGGTCTCCTGAGAGATTTTTATGTGCGGCCTTCAGCCCCGGTGCTGTGTAAGGACCAACTGTACCATGTTTATTTACCCATTCACCACTGAAGAACATTTCGCTTCTTTCCAGTTCAGGGTGATTATTTAAAGCTGCTATAAATATCCATGGGAGGTTTTTTGTTGTTGTTTTTTTGTGGATATAGTTATCAATTTGTGTTATTTAGAAGTACATTGTTTTCTCTCCAACTATTTTGGGGTTTTCCAGGCATCTTTTTATTATTGATTACCAGTTTGATTTTATTGTGGTCTGAGAGCATACTTTGCATGATGCTTTTAAGCTTGTTCAGATGTGTGTTAAGCCCCGGATGGGATCTCTCTTGGTAAATGTGAGGTGGGGAAGAATGTGTGTTCTGTTGTTGTGGATGAACCACATGAATTGACAAAGATCTCTATTGGATCCTGTTGATTGATAATGCTTTGCAGTTTAGCTATATGGTTACTGATGTTCTGTCTGTTGGTTCTGCCAGTACTGAAAGAGGGGTATTGAAGTCTCTAACTATAATAGTGAAGACATAATTGAATCTATAGATGGCTTTGGATAGAATGGACATTTTAATGATGTTAATTCTTCCTATCCAGGAACACAGTATATGCTTCCATTTATTTGTAGGTGAGATTCATGATGATGGGAGGAGACTTGACTCGGAGTGATGAAAACACAATACAATATATGCAAATGATGTATTGTAGAACTGTACACCTGAAAACTATATAATTTTACTAGAGGCCCAATGCACAGAATGTGTGCAAAGGGCTTGGCCCTCGCAGCTGCAGCAGCTTGCCTCAGCCCTCACAGCCCCGGCCGGCTTCGTCAGAAGGTCATCTGGAAGGATGTCCAGAAGGTTGTTTGGCTGTCTAGTCTAATTAGCATATTATGCTTTTATTACTATAGATTAGCCAATGTCACCCCAATAAAATCAGTGGAAATGGACCAGGACATTCATGCCCAAAATAATGGGTGTGTGTGTGTGTGTGTGTGTGTGTGTGTGTGGTTCATATGTGTGTCCTTGCAGTTTTTTCAGTTTTGCCTCATGTGTTATGTCTTTTTGGGTAACTGACCCCTTTATCATTACACAATGCCCCTCTTTATCCTTGTATGAAAGATTGGTATTGGTATTTTTTCTTTAAATATTCAACAAAATTCACTGGTAAAACCATTTGCCTTTTTTTATGGGAAGATTTAAAATTTACTAATTCAATTTCTTTCTTGCTATATATCTGTTCGTATTTCTCTTTCTTTTTGAGTCACTTTTGGCAATTTGTCTTTTTAGAAATTTATCCATTTTACCTAAGTTGTACAGCTTATTGATATGAAGTCGTTGATATGGTATTTCCTTATAATTCTTTTAATTGCTGTACCCTTTTTAATTCCTGATTTGGGGAGGGAAAGTATACAATTTACTGATTTTCAGTGTATTCACAATACCATGTAACTATAACCATAATCTAATTGCAAAACATTTTTACCATCTCCCCAAAACACCCATATCCACTAGTAGTTCCTATTCTCCTTCCCCCAAACACTGGGCAACCACTAACCTATTTTGTATCTGGATTTGCTTATTTGGGGCATTGCATATAATTAGAACATACAACATATGGTCTTTCACTTAGCATAAGATTCATCCATATGGTAGCATGTATCAGTACCTCATTCCTTTTTAGGCTGAATAATGTTCGTTACATGGACATACCACATTTTGTTTATCCCCTCATCAGTTGATGGACATTTATGTTGTTTCTACTTTTTGGCTATTATGAATACTGCTGATATGAACATTTCTGCTTAAGTTTTTGTGTGGTGCCGGGACCGGATTGGCTCAATGGATAGAGCGTCGGCTTGGGGACTGAAAGGTCCCAGGTTCGATTCCGGTCAAGGGCATGTACCTTGGTTGCGGGCATATCCCCAGTAGGGGGTGTGCAAGAGGCAGCTGATCGATGACTCTCTCTCTTCGATGTTTCTGACTATCTCTCTCCCTTCCTCTCTGTACAAAATCAATAAAATATATTTTTTTAAAAAGTTTTTGTGTGGTGCACCTTTTTAATTAGCATATTATCTCAGGAAATTGGAGGCTGGAGAGTATGTTTTTTGTCTCTGTGTTTATATGTTTCTTTCTATGTGTGGGAACAACCCAAGTTCTTGGAAGTTTACAAAGAGTCATTGGGTTTAAGAAGAAGCCAGAAGGGCTGAGTCAACCGTAATATCTTAACTCTGCCCTACATGCTTCAACTCTCCCTGGCTCCATCCTCACCTTCTGTTCTGAACCACAATGTAAGTGGAAATGGACCAGGGCATTCATGCCCAAAAAAGCCATTGTACACATACACACACACACACACACACACACACACACACAAATGTATATTTCTATCACGCTTTTCAGATAAAAGGAAAAGTAGTAGGTATCATTTTGTTACTCAAGAAAAGCAATGGTAAAATCCTGCTCTCAAGTTAGTGGGAGGGGAAAAATCATCTGTCAATCAATAGATGTGATGATGCCCAAATATTACTTTGGTTAGAAAAATAATCCCACATAAACTCCCACTTTTCTCTCTTTCGGTCCTAAAACTTTCAACACTGTCATGCAGTGCATCTGTGGATAAAAGCATGTGCGAGCCAGACAGCTGTTCACCAGTGTCCTGCAGCTTGATTCCTAGTAATCCGTCCAGTTTTGGCCTTCCTCCGAGACTCTTCCCCATCATCTATCACTTGGCCCCGAAATGGTTGTGAGGATTCTTCCTCCCCAGTCTTTGTTCTAAAATTGAATCTGAACACTCTTTTGTTACCTAATAAGGCTGAGCCAGGCGATGTTTATGTGCAACTCTATTATCTCATTCTGAATCAAGGTAGTGAGGTGAGTTACAAATAAATATAGAAAACCAAAGGTAAACCATGTTCTCTAAGAGTAAGGGAAATCTGATCCAGGATAAGACAAGAGATACAGTACTTGACTAAAAGTTGGCCTGATTTGGCCAAATAAGACTGCATGTGACACATTCAGGTGTATGGTTATAAGACGAGATTCTGTACCTGCTTGTCGAAATATCCTCAAAAGGGTAGAGGATCTCTCCATTGTTGCAGATTTCACAGATGAACCCCTTCTGGCTGCAAAGACTGCAGCTGTACACGTGAGCGCTGGCAAATTTAATGACCTTGCCCAGGAAAGGAGCCAGCTTTCCCTCTATTACCTGCAGAAAGAGAAATGGAACAGGGAAAGCCATTGAGCACAGAAATCTTGCAGATGAGGAGAACTGGAATTCCTTTCCTTTACACAACAGGAAAACCTCTAATTATAATTTCTCAGCAACTCTGAGAAAGAAAAGATAGTATTTTCGCTGCAAAAGAACCCTCTGGTTTAAACCGCTGGAGGCTGGAAAATGAAGATGTTGAAACTTCTTTTGTATTCTTCTTCCTTTGTAGTGGGGTGTAAGGGGTTGAAGACCAACAAATGGGGAGCCCCCCTTGCCTGGGCCGGCTCGCAGTTATGGTGTGGTGTAAGAGGAATGCGGCGGGGTTCCCGAAACAGACTGAACACATCAGGGTGAGTATGAATGTAGCCCTTCATACTTTCTGTTGTCTATTCAACAATTCCCTTTCTCTGGTGAATTAATAGGAAAGTTTTTTCTCCATTCCCCCAAGAACACAGAACAAATGCGGAAAAATGGTTTCTTTTGCTGACAAGTATATTAACATAAAGAGGTTGCAAATTTGGCAGGCAGAGGGTCATATTCAGCCTGAAGAGTTTATTTATTTATTTTTTAAAATCTGTTAGTGTTTTAAAGAATGAGCCATTTTAATAATTGGGAGCCTGGCTGGCGTGGCTCAGTGGCTGAGTGTCGACCTATGAACTAGGAGGCCACTTTCTAAGATTCCTGGTCGGGGCACATGCCCTGGTTGCGGGCTTGATCCCTAGTGTGGGACGTGCAGGAGGCAGCCCATCAATAATTCTCTTTCATTATTGGTGTTTCTATCTCTCTCTCTCCCTCTCCTTTCTCTCTGAAATAAATAAAGATCTATTTAAAAATAAAGAAAAATAATTGGGATAGTTCACATAAAAATGAGTATTTGGAGTTTCTTTTGAAAAGTCATTAGATCTGGCAGAGCTAGGCCTGAACTCTAGCACGGCGATGATCCTGCCTGACACAGCAGCTTGCTCTCCTCGGGCACATGCCTCCTGTCCAGAGCTGTCCCCCCAGGCCCATGTCTTGCATCTGCCTCCTCCCACAGTACCACACTGCAAGCAATCTGGCTTTGGAACCAATGGTTTGTCTGATCTCTCCTCAATTCCCTAAAATGATGGGCTTCAAAGTATTCAGCAGTTCGTGTACCAACAGCATAAAACCTGCCTTTGTTTCTCTCTATTAGTGCAAACACACACACACACACACACACACACACACACACACACATATATATATATATGCTGATTTTAATAAGAAGAAAAAAAGAAAATTTAATTTGAAAGTAGTTAACAATATTTGGAAATAGCTGTATGCTTTCAAATGAATTTATAGTTTAAGTGACAATTTTACATAAAAATAACATCCAAGGGCCATGCAAATCATACCTAAATGGAAATTACAATGCCAAGGTGAATAAATTAACTAACATTACAGAAATGAAAGACTGTAAGGAACATAACAATGTATTTTGCTGAGAATGAAGCTATGCATAATATTGGAGATAAAAACTTAAGTGGCTATATATATATATATATATATATATATATATATATTAATTTCAGAGAGGAAGGGAGAGGGAAAGATAGAAGCATCAATGATGAGAGAGAATCATTGATATGCTGCCTCCTGCACACCCCCTACTGGGGATGGAACCCACAACCTGGGCACGTGCCCTTGACTAAAATCGAACCGGGACACTTCAGTCTGCCGGCCTATGTTCTATCCACTGAGCCAAACTGTCTAAGGCTGAAGTGGTTTTAAAGGTCACATGATGTTTTCAAAATAACAGCATTAACTTTAGGGAAGGGAAGAAATGGGAAAAGCAAATCTTTCACTTTGTATACAGGTGTCTTTTTGCATTTTTTAAAAACAATGTATATCGTGTTGCATCAAGGTACAGAAAGTGAACAGAAATATCAGGTTTACTGCTTTATAAAAGTGGATTTTTTTTCCCCCCTTAATACAAGATGGTAGAAATTATGCTGGCTGTTTTTTTGTCAAGCAAGTCCGTTTTCTACTATTCTTTAACTTATTTCCTTTTTGGAAAGCCATAGATAGAGCTCTTTTTATTTTTATTTTCTCAAGGACCATTAACTTTGATAAACCCCAGTAAAGTGTACTCCTAATACCAACACATGACACACTTTCTAAGAAATAACCACCACCAAGTCATATACCCAACCACCAGCAAACTCTTTCCGGTGTGTCATAGGGCTATTTCTAAACTGTGGTGACAGTTCTTCAGTTCCACTTGGTTTTGCTTACATTACTCTTTCCTAAACAACCAAGATTAATGACACGTTTAAAGAGAGGCGCAAACTATAGTCCACTCAGGGGAAAGCATCAGGATGTAGAACAGTTCTGGACATCAGGGGAGTGAAGGCTGCTGAAGGAACCGAGGGTGAGAAGAGAAGACGATGAGGCGGACCTGACAGTTATCACCTGGGATCTAAAGGAGCAGACCGGGCATTTTGTGCACAAAGCTTTCCTATTTACTTACTTAGGTACTTATTTATTTATTTATTTAAAGCGAAATCCCCAGTTTTAAAAAAAAGATTTTTTAAATTGATTTTCTTTACAGAGAGGATAGGAAAGGGAGTTAGGAACATCGATGAGAGATAAGCTGCCTCCTGCACATACTGGAGATGTGTCTGCAACCAAGGCACATGCCCTTGACCGGAATCCAACCTGGGACCCTTCAGTCTGCAGGCCGACGCTCTATCTGCTGAGCCAAACTGGTTAGGACAAGCTTTTCCCATTTTAGATCATCTCCTTGAGGCAAAGGGTATGAGAATTTTTCAGGCTTTTGAAATATCTCACCAAACTTATTTAATAAACTTAAAAAAAAATAATTTGGGGACTGATAGCTTTATAATAGCTAGTCTTCCTATCAAAGGACCTGATCTAGATCTCTATTTTATTACATTTTTACTTATTATAGTTTTAATAATTTGTTTTCTTCCCTTGTACATACCACTCACATTTATTATACTTAGGTTATTTCAAAATTGAATTTTGTGTAATATTTTTTCTTATTAGCCATTGCTGATATATTATAATAGAATCTATTGGCATTTGTGTATACCTTATATATGACTATAATTTTACTGTATTTTCAGGAATGCAATGCATTTTTAGGGGATTCTTTTGGGTTTTCTGAAAGTAATAAACTGGTCCCTTCTTTTCTAATATTATACCTCTTATTTATGTTTCATGTCTTTTGTATCACTCAGTGCTCCTCACACAATATAAGAAATAATGGTGTTAGAATCAAACTGGAAATTATGGGGTGTAGTGAGTGGCTCATTTTCTCCACGAGGAACATATATATTGTCATTCACCACATTTTATTGATTTCCTCTCTTTTTAAATTACAGCTTTAGTGAGATATAATCACATACCATGTAATTCAACTATTTAAAGTCTACAATTAAAAGGCGTTTAGTTTATTCACAGAGTTGTATACTATCAATTTTTGAGCATCTCCAACTCTTCCAAAAAACCTTGTATCCATTAGCAATTACTGCCTTTCCCCTAGACTACTCCCCAAGCCCTAACCAAGCACCAGTCTGATCTCTGTCTCTATAGATTTACCTATTTGGGGCATTTCATATAAATGGAATGATACAACATGTGGCTTCTTTCACTTAGCTTAACATTTTCAAGGTTCAAGTTGATTCTCTTCTAAATACCTCTAGTGTAAATCTCCTTTTTCATCCTGCCCCACACTCTTATCTCTCCTGTCAATCTTCTAGTTTTATTTGCAGATGCCTTTTTCCTTTGATCTGACCATAATATATATATATACTAATCAGTTTTAGATACCACTTTTATCATGTATCATCTTTTCCCTCACACCTTGATGAATTATTATTTTATCATTATTAAAAACTCTTCACTCATTCATTTCATAGAGTTATATTGAATTACCATGTCCCATATTCTCCATACAAGAGTGAACTGGGCCAAACTGGAGCTTACATTTTGCCCGGTGTGCAGGTAGTCCATAAGCTGATTCCACATTACCTATCCAAATTCATTTTCCATTTCTTATGATGTAACTTCTGTTGTGAGCAGATGTTTTCTCATGGAGAGTGTGCTTACTCTTGTTCTTGTGCCTTCACCCGTGTCATTTCCTCTGTCTGAAGTTCCGCTTCTCTTCCCAAACACTTTTTTGACTTCACCTAGGCTTCATGGCTTTGATCTGTTCTGGCTTGATCTGGAAAGCCATCTTTGGCAACTTCACTGTTTGGATCTCTTGTGCTTCACATAGATTACTTTTACATCAAGCACACCATGTAATTTAATATAAAACTTGATGCTGTTTAGTACTCTTTACTAATGCTTAACATGTGATTGTTTTGCTTATCCAACTGTTGACTGAATATCTCAAAATGGTGATCCTAACTATAAAATGGTGATTTTACTTTTTAAAAAAATGTAAATTTTATATGGAGTAACCTAAGAGAATGTAAATTGCTTGGAGGCAAGACTGAGTCTCATACTTATCTTAAATATCCCATTTCTGCCAGGCATCTAAGTTCTTGTTGATTGATCAAGGATGCTTTCTCCTCTTTTTCCTTGGCTGCAGTGGTTATATCTTAGGGCTGTTTTTGTGTCACAAATATTTTCAATCATTCTGCGGGGTGACTTAGGGAGGAGCATAAAGAGTGTATGGCCCTGGTGGAAGCTCAGCTATTCAGGGACTCCTTTGGCTTCTTTTCATTTGATTAATTGCTCTTCCTATTTGTCAGCTTAAGTTCATGGCCATGTTCCAAAGGGCTAAAGCTGCTGAAAGATTTCCTTCCAGAAAGTGAGGTAATAGTCTATGTTTTAGAATTTACAAACATATCTTTAATATTTCAGAAAGGAAAAGTTTATACTTATAATTGTCCAGGGATAAAGATATATTTAGAAGGTTTAAATCTTATCTTTGACTACAACTACTAGCAGCACTGGGAACAGGATTCAACTATTCTGGTTTCTTGTCTAGAGGTTTCATCGCA